TACTAGTTAAAAATCGATTGTATTTAACCCAATTAGACACTAAAATGGATAATATAGGGATTTTATACAGTTCAGAAAAAATTCGATTTGATAGTCTAGAAAATGGATTTTTTTGAGGTATAACATCTATACAGAATCTGTATAGAATCTGTATAAAATCGATTATAATCGATTGTAATGCATTTTCTAAGGACCCAAAGAAATCGATTTTATAGTTTGGTGAGGTACAGATTTTATACCGCAAAAAAATCTATTTTCTAGACAATAAAATCGATTTTTCCTGAACTGTATAAAATCCTTATATTATCCATTTTAGTGTCTAATTGGGTTACCTACAATCGATTTTTAACTAGTAGAATGTCTGTATAAAAGTAGATTATAATCGATTCCAATCTTTTTTTTGCCAATGCGGTTATAAAATCTGTACCTCACCATACTTTCTAAACTTCCTTCATCGTATAAAGAACACTAACATACACGGCATCCTCCGTAACTATGATCCCATAAGACAAATGTATATATTCTGCCCATTAACCAAATCCTTTGATGTTGAAGAGTTCCGCCCACTAATCATCCCTTCACGAATATTTACAGCCCCACTAAGTCCACATTCTAGAATACATTCACAATACTAAATGCAATCACAAGCTATATATCCTAATCCTAAATACATCGCATGAATTCTTACTCAATAGTGAAGAGCACAACATCATCCGATAACTCGAGCTTCTATGGCCTCTCCTTCAGGTTAAAAGTTTCATCGGCATGCTTGCCAAGCTCCTCACATCATCAGACACTATTCGCACTACTTTCCCAAACGGATTTTTTGCCGACGACAACCCTTTGTAAGTATAGTTAATTAATTTACCTAATAAATTCAAAAACATACAACTTTTCTTTATATATGTCTCTTGCTCCTTTTTTTAGATTCCACCATTCAATCATCTAAAACAAATAAAAACAAATAAAAAACTGTAAACTCTTCTCTTTAAACTTTTCAATTTCAATCTTACAACCGCAGTATGTAATTGAAGTAGTAAGTTTTTTCACAAAGCAGTATATTCAGAATTTGAAAATTCCATGGCAGTAAATTAATGTTTCTATGTAGTAAATTCATAAAAAATGCAAACAAATTGAAAAAAACTAACCTTTTAACAAGACGCTACTTTAATTAATTTGAATTATTCACTCACCCATAAATCACACACTCTTTCCACAGCTCGCCCACGAAGAATTGTTTAAATAATGAGTTTCAAGTTTAAACTTTCACTGATAACAACTCTAACTTGTTTTCACACGTTTCAAACTTTCCGTTAACCCTGTTGGAAGGAATTATAACAGTAAGCTAAACTAACCAACGCAGTTTACTAACGCCACAAAACCACAAACTAATAGCATGACTAAGAAAAAAAGTCCCACGGTACCCAAACCGGATTAAACCCAGATTAAAACTGGATAAATTATTCTTCTGAAAGCCACCTTCTAGTTTTTTTGTTTTAAAACCAAATAAAACACAAAAAAGTCGAAAGACAAACCCAAAACAAATGATTCTACTTTTGATGAAAGGACACAACCAAAACAAAACGGAGAAAAACACGAAATGAAAATGTTACAAAAGGTTGAACATATAAAGAGACTCTGCACAAGAGACCATGAAAATATAACCCACTTCTGGCCTCACCCACCAGAACGACATCGCTCGAAGTACATGCCCACACCATGCACTATGACTCCGATACTCTATTTTTGATAAGAGTGGCTCCAGAGTGAGCAACTCTTTAAAACAACCGAACTAAAATAAAAACTCTTGCGATAATAACTAATACTAAATCATAATTTAAAATAAAATTTAACTAACAAGATGTAAGTATATAAATGCAATGTGAAAAGATTTCTTAGAGCCCAAGGAACGAGCAGCAAAGGAGATGACAGCTCGACTACATTCGAACTCTGGAATGGCAAATCTATTTGCTTTGTTGCCGAAGTAACTCTCAATGGATTTTAAGTATGGACTCAACATCGCAGCAAAGGAAACCCCTTGAACCAGACCAATGGCCATCTCGATGTTGATCTCACATACCGGTTCTAGTGACTTGGCCTTTCACAGGGAAAAGTCAAACTTCGCCCTGCACGTAGTTTCGCTCTAAACTTAATGAAATCGATACATCATTGCATCGACCAGAAGTCTTGACACAATCACGCAAGACTACCCACGATCAACGAGACCCATATTGAAGCACGAACAAAACAGTCTTCTTCCATCTACTCGAGCAACTACATCTCTTCTCTCGTCAAGAAGTCACTGCTCAAAACTTCCACAGCATCCTCCGTAACTATGATCCCATAAGACAAATGTACATATTCTGCCCACTAACCAAATCCTTTGATGTTGAAGAGTTCCGCCCACTACTCGTCCCGCACGAATATTTACAGCCCCACTAAGTCCACATTCTAGAATACATTCACAATACTAAATACAATTACAAGCTATATAAGCTAATCCTAAATACATCGCATGAATTCTCACTCAATAGTGAAGAGCACAACATCATCCGATAACTCGAGCTTCTATGGCCTCTCCTTCAGGTTAAAAATTTCATCCGCATGCTTGCCAAGCTCCTCACCTCATCAGACACTATTCGCACTAACTTCCCAAACGGATTTTTGGCCGACGACAACACTTTGTAAGTATAAATAATTATTTTAACTGATAAATTCAAAAACATATAACTATTCTTTATATATGTCTCACGCCCCTTTTTTAGATTTCACCATTCAATCATCTAAAACAAATAAAAACAAATAAAAAACTGTAAACTCTTTTCTATAAATTTTTCAAGTTCAATCTAACAGTCGCAGTATGTAATTGAAGTAGTGAATTTTTTTCCCAAAGCAGTATATTCATAAATTGAAAATTCCATCGCAGTAAATTAATGTTTCTATGTAGTAAATTCATTAAAAAAATGCAAACAAATTGAAGAAAACTAACCTTTTTATAAGACGCTACTTCAATAAATTTGAATTCTTCACTCACCCATAAGTCACACACTCTTTCCACAATCGCACAGCTCGTCCACGAAGAATTGTTTAAATAATGACTTTCAAGTTTAAACTTTCACTGATAACAACTCTAACTTGTTTTCACACGTTTCAAACTTTCCTTTAACCCAATTGGAAGGAATTATAAAAGTAAGCTAAACTAACCAACGCAGCTTACTAACGCCACAAAACCACAAACTAATAGCATGACTAAGAAAAAAAGTCCCACGGTACCCAAACCGGATTAAACCCAGATTAAAACTGGATAAATTATTCTTCTGAAAGCCACCTTCAAGTTTTTTTTAAAAACAAATAAAACACAAAAAAGTCGAAAGACAAACCCAAAACAAATGTTTCTGTTTTAAAGAAAAGGACACAACCAAAACAAAACAGAAAAACACGAAATGAAAATGTTACAAAAGGTTGAACATACAAAGAGACTCTGCACAAGAGGCCATAAAAATATAACCCACTTCTGGCCTTACCCACCATAACGACATCGCTCGAAGTAAATGCCCACGCCGACTCCGATACTCTATTTTTGATAAGAGTGGCTCCAGAGTGAGCAACTCTTTAAAATAACCAAACTAAAATAAAAACTCTTTTGCGATAATAGCTAATAATAAATCATCAATAAAAATAAAACTTAACTAACAAGATGTAAGTATATAAATGCAATTTGAAAAGATTTCTTAGAGCCCAAGAAACGAGCAGCAAAAGAGATGACAGCTCGACTACATTCGAACATTGGAATGGCAAATCTATTTGGTTTGTTGCCGAAGTAACTCTTCTCAACGGATTTTAAGTATGGACTCAACATCGCAGCAAAGGAAACCCATTGAACCAGACCAATGGCCATCTCGATGTTGATCTCACATACCAATTCTAGTCACTTGGCACTTCACACGGAAAAGTCAAACTTCACCCTTCACGTAGTCTCGCGCTAAACTTGATGAAATTGATTCATCCTTGCATCGATCAGAAGTCTTGACACTATCACCCAAGACTACCCACGATCAACGAGACCCATATTGAAGCACGAACAAAACAGTCTTCTTCCATCTTCTCGAACAACTACATAAACTACATATCTCCTCTCTTCAAGAAGTCACTGCTCAAAGCTTCCAAAGAAAACTACATCGCCCGTCCTTCACTACAATAAACAATTGAAAACTGAAAACTCTAAAACCCGGATGGGTGGAACCAGTTCTAAATTAGTATTTATAATTGGATATAAATACAATTATATTATTGATAAAATTATCACTATCAAATATTACTAACTAACCAATTATTTTCCATCTCTAACATTGACAATTATTTGTAAGTGCGGAAACTACTTGTAGTTTCAGCACCAGAACAATTTGAATGTATCTTAGACTACAGTTGTACTTGTTCTGGATAAACTCCAAGAACTAACTCGCTAAAACCAGTATACAATAGATCTATTGAGACTAGGAGATATAAGAGTAAGATTAAGATTGGTATTAAACTAAGAAGTTGCACGAATCTATCGGGCCGAAAATAAGATAGCGTGACAAACAGACGGTGTCCCTTGTCTGAAATTACTCTATGAGTACAAACCAAAGGTCATAACTCAGTAACAAACTTAAAAATATCAAACACGTACCCCAGCTTTAGCTGGGCCCTAAGTTTCCTTCATCAAGGGTCGGAAAATATCATCATGTATTCCTGACTCGTATTTGTATTTCCATAATCTTCAATCTGATATTTCCTCTCAATTTTCATTTCTTTGCCGTTTAATTAATCAACCCAAATTTTGGTTTATATTAATTTAGTTGCATCACTCTGTGCTACATGCACAGCAACCAGCTATCCTTGTTTCATCCTCAAAATTATTCAATTGTCTTTCGAAAAATATTTCAAAAGTCTTTTTAATAAGCTACGGCCTTCTTCAAAAAAATTCATCTAAATTTTTCAATTTTTAAAATAATCATCCATGTTCGAAACTTTGTCGGTTAGATCCAGTTTACTTGCAATTTTTTCTTAGTTTCAATTGTTTTGCTTTCTTGGTGCGCACTTATTAATGTCATTCTTGGTCATTTTCTCAAGTTTCCCTCTCAGTTTCTTTCGCTTCCTCCGTGTCTTTTTTAGTCATGATTGCCAATGCTAACTCTGCTTGTGCTGCGTCTGGGAACAAGTAATGTCGGGTACGATTGTCTTCTTTGTCAGTGAAAATTAACACGTTGGCTAAAAGGCATTACTACAACTTTAAATTATGGAAATACCGGCCAGATCCTTCTGCCTCAGGAAATTGGGCCAAAATCTCTCATTTATTGCAATTTTTAATATTGGGAACCTTTAATTGGCAATTATCACTTTTTCACATTTTTTCAAATATAGACAACTTTGCATATTTAGTGTCTGATAAATTATGAGGCACGCAATGGTTCAAACGCACTATACCACTCGCTCCGTATGTAATGGCAACAGACCAAGCGGTTTCTACTTGCAAATGACTCGATTAAAAAGTCCTTACCGGCCAGCGGAGAAAATCCTTCAAGTTTTGGCCAGCGAAAAACTGATTGAGTTGTAATATTTTACGTGAAAGTGAATTGGTAGCATTGTCTGAGAAAAATTTCCAGTTCAAATTAAAAACTGTTTTCTGATATAAATCATAAATTTAGTACTCGAATCTGAATGCACCGTAATTTATAGCAATTTTTGTCGATATTTGTAGGTCAAAAACTTACAAGTCGAATCGTCCGTTCCTTTTCCTGTCAGGAACTTCTCATCGCATAGGTTATTGATTCTTGTCACACCACAGTTGCTGACACAGTCATACCAGACGACCGATGAGTTCATGTTGCATCCGAACAACAAGCGTGCTCTTCTCCCATTCGTGTCCCAGGCTCCAGAGGGGGTGAGTTTAGTGACTTTGCACTTGAAAGTGTGGGTGGGAGCAGTTGACATTACTCTCGTGGCTTCTAACAGAAATTTCTGACTGATACAGTATAAGTTAACACGAGAAAGAGCAACTGGTTGCTGTATGCGTTGCACGATCACCCGACGGACGTTTTCCCAGAAAAAAACTCAAAACAAAAACTTATCCTTTTGATTTTTACTTGTGCTTTTTCGGCAAAAATCTTTAGTTTCTCCTAAGTTTCCAAATCGTTGCGTGATTGGAACGGCAGTTGCAGTCGTGATTCGAACGACTTTGAAAATTTTCAATTAGCGCCACTTCAGAAAAAAGTAAGTTTTAAAATCAAAAATTTTGTTCTAAATTGTTCCATTCATTTTTCGAAGAAAACTTGTCAAATATACGTGTTTTAGTTTTACTATCGAATATGCCTAGGCTTTATGCTTTTGATCAGATTCTTTCGTCACACCTCGATTGCTTTTCTGGTTGGAACTTAGCTTCTTGCACATCAATTGGTTATCTTTGTATTAGAAATGCTGCACGTTGTTCAAAGCCGCAATTTTAGTATTCAATTTTTGTGCTCTTGTTTGATACAAGTTCATGAATTTTCCTTGCCATCTGAAAGATATCGATGACTGTACTTGAAATTAAAAGAATGATGGTCTACCTGTGATTGTTTTTTTTTGCAAAGTTTTAGGGATTTGACTCGTTTGCGTGAAGAATGCTCGCTTGGGGTATAAGGCGAACTAATCCGGATCAAAAACTGTTCCAAAAAACGTGTGCCTAACGCCTCTGTGCTAGACACACTTAGCGTTAAAGGAGATTTTGTCTGGATTCAAAATTATTACAAAGTAAACAAGCCTGCTCGTATCAGGGCAAAGCCCTGAATGTTCCGACTGCCTTATAAGGTTTTTGGAGCAGTAATAACCTAATAAAATTAAATGTAATAAAAGAAAATGAAAATTTGTTTTCTAAAATTTGAAATTTTTTATGAAAATCATCCCCCCACACGCCATTTAAAGAACAAAAGGATAGATTTGGCTCCTTGTAACAAATCAATTAATGTAAATAAGCGTCTTTCAACCAATTTGGAACAATTTCTAAGACGGAATAAATCTCCGCTTACGCGTTAATAGCGCGAATTATATCGCGCGTTAATTGTCCCAAAATGGCAATCTTTAAACCCCCATAACTTTACGAAAAATGATCACAGGTGAAATATCTCTTCAAATTTCAGCTCAGGACAACAATACCTTTTGAATGAAAAAATTCCGTCAAAAATGGCTAGTTAAAAAGTAGAAATTTGTCTGAAGAAAAAAACCCAGCCCGAGCACAAATATTCCGTTACTTTCGTATCGAAAGTCGGAACAACAAGGATAGCCGGTTGCTGTGCACAGAGTGTTGTGACCATATTCTTACAATTTTTTTTTCAGTTTAAGTTAGTTTATTTTCTTGTACCTTGTGTGATGTTAATTATACAAACGCGTTGAAATTTAGTGAATCAGGCATTAACGGCTACAAATGTCTTCAAGAAAATAATATATATTTTTTGCCAGAGAAGCTCTAAATAAAGCTTCCAAAATCATTTTTTTTTAAAAGTGAAATTATCCGTTTTGAGCGTAAATTAGAAATTTTCATAGATAACGAACACTACTCGATCCAATTACTTTGTCATCCGGCATGGACCGACAAAACTTAGATATAGATGTATTTATACTTGTGATTAATGTTGTTGTATATGTTTATGATGTTGCATGCCATAAACATAAATTTAGCCGGTAAATCGACCTTGAGAGATCTTCTCTCAAACATTGACCGAATTAACGGTCAGAGCATGAATAAACGTTGGTTTAGATTGGTCGTTTTATCTCGCTCCGCGTTAGCTTATCTGTTTGTCGATCCATTCGGATTCTGGAATCAACCGATCATACATTGAGGTATGACATGGCGCAGCCATCAGGATATTCCAAAAACCCACTCAACATAAACCCGTTCTGGGAGAAGGCATCAGCCGAACCACCTCTAGAGTGGTCTAAGTGGGCTGCGATAATGGAAATGGCGGCATTTGCGAAAGATGGGATAGAAGTACGAAATCTATTGAGATCCCGACCAACATTAGTCGAACCGGCAGAGCCCGTATACGAACTTGAAATCACAGGAGAAACTGAAGCACAAAGGAAGAACAGAGAGGTCAGAAATCAAGAGAAACGAGTAGGTTGGGAAAACCATGTGATCAAAGCGAGGGAAAAAGGAGTACTTTGTAATTCATTCAGATGGGACGAAGCAGACGCGAAAGTACGCAGCTACATATTCTTATGCTTAGGAGCGGAAAGACAAAGACAAATACAACAGAAACGTCCCAATTTGGAATTGCACACCGTTTCCACTCAAGAACTGATGAGAACCCTCGAGAATATTTTTATCACAACTAGAATCATCGCTTTTGAAAGATAGAATTTCATCTGTCGAAAACAGAAAAAGAATGAGAGCTTAGAACAATTTCATTCGGACCTCGTGGAATTAGCATCGAGGGAGGATTGTGGAGACCGCGAAGAGGAATGGGTTCGCGACATGTTCACCGCACATATGAACAACGACAAAATAGCCGAGGAACTATTAGCACGAACCAGGAGTCCACAAGATGCATATGAATATGCAATACGACGAGAAAAAGGTATCGAACATAGTAAAACTATGAAGATCAACCCTTTTAGCGGACAGCAAATTACGACAAAGCAAGAACCGGTCAATTACATAAACACTCGAGGTCGCGCGAATTACTCTAACAGTCAAAACACACAAAGAGGGCGAGGCGCTCGAGGCAAACCGTTTCAACGAGGATTACAAAGCAACAGAGGACAACAAAGAGCTGCAAACACCGGAAATCAAAAACAGTGTTATAAATGCGGCAATCAGTATAATCAAAATCATTTACAGACCTGTCCCGCTAAAGATAAAATATGTGCAAAATGCGCCAAACGGGGACACTTCGCCAAAGTATGCCGATCAACACAAGTCAACTATCTAGAAGATACTCATGTCGACCAAAACGAGGAGCTTGACACCGAAAGCCTTGAAACAGAAAACGATCCAGTGGCGTTTGCAGAATTTTCTTCCAGAAATGGTTGGGATGATTACCAAAAAGATAATTTTTCGCTGATGGCAATCGCGGAATCATTCGAGATTAAGAATACAAGAACATTAGTTGAAGACGATCTAAACGGCCATATTCTGAAAATAAAAACTAATTCCGAACAATTGTTCGCTATTGCGGATTCGGTCAGCCCAATGTCTTTTCTAAACGAAAAAATCGCAAGGCGCATTCAACAACACGATAAATATGCACTGTTCAGAACCATTCCATTGGGAGATACAGCCCGACATTTAGCGTGTTACAATGGCGAAACGATCGTTCCGAAAGGAAGATTGACCATTAAAATCGAGTCAGGGGGTTGGAAAATTCAGTCAGCTCCGTTCATCGTGGTCGATGACAAAAAGCAAACATTATCGGAAGGAATCTACCTCCGCAGATCGGCATCAAATTGATTCAAGAACAGAAAACAGAAAAGGTACATGCTTTACGAGAACAAGAAAACTCGAATCCGGCGATAAAACAATGGGTCAAATTGTGCGTACGTATCGGAAAATCCAAAAGTCACACAATGAAAACACAGTTCCTTGAATAATTCGTTCCAATACAACAGAAGTGTCGAGGCATTCCGTTACATCTGCAGGAACGTGTGGAAGGAGAACTAAACAAACTAATTGATCAAAGACATATTATCAAATTAGATAAATGTTCGGACAAACAGTTTATAAGCCCAATTGTCATTACAGTGAAAAAGGACCAAACAGTTAAACTTGCGTTGGATTCGAAGAAAATCAATAAATTTCTTCATAAAAACAAGTATCAGATGCCTAATATCGACTTATTATTGGTTAACATTGCGCAAGTAGTCAAATCAGACAAAACAAAGCCAACGCTGTTCTCAAAACTTGACCTGGGATACGCATACTCACAAATCCCGCTGGATCGTAAAACACGTGAACAATGCATTTTCAGTTTAGTCGGTGACAATGCAACAGGAACGTTTCAATTCCAAACGGGATTCTACGGCCTCACAGATATGCCAGCTGAATTTCAAAAAGCTGTCGACTTAACGTTGACGAATTGCACGAACACATACGCATATTTAGATGATATACTAGTAGTCACTAAGGGAAACAAAGAGTTACATCAACAGAAGTTGAAAGCAGTTTTGGACAAACTTGATGAAGAAAATCTCGCGATTTCGCTCGAGAAATGTAAGTTCGCTTGCAAAGAGATTGAGTGGCTAGGATTTAACATCAATAGTGAAGGCACAACCCCACTAATTAAGAAAACCGAAGCAATAGAGAAACTGTCAGCACCAAAAACATTTAAACAATTAAAAAGTTTTATGGGGTCAATACATCAACTCACAAGATATATACCAAATTTAGCACAAGCAGCTGCAGCGCTCCGTCCATTGCTAAAAAACACAGAAAAGAAAAAACCACTTGACTGTGTTACTAAAGTTAGTAGCTGAAATTACTCAAAACAAACATTTTGACCAAGAATTAGAAACTCGCATAGTTTGCGACGCATCGAATACAGGTTTAGGAGCTGCATTGGAACTAAATTCACCAGGGCGTTGGATAGCCGTAGCATACGCATCACGTTTTTTAAATTCCCTCGAGGAAAAATATTCCGTAAATGAACTAGAATTATTGGGAGTAGTTTGGGCAATCGAACATTTCAAATATTATCTTTACGGAAAAAGCTTACGGTCATTACGGATCATCAAGCTTTAATCAACGCTTTAATTGCAAACGAAAGATCAAAAACAAGTCAGAGTCGACTCACACGATGGATTGATAGATTAATTCCCTTTCATTTTGATATCAAACACTTGGCGGGGAATATAATGGGACTAATAGACTACATGTCCCGAAATCCAGTTGGATTGGCAATACCCCCTAGTGAGTACGATGAGGAATTTGTAGTTGCATCAATTAATGCATTCATAAACGACCTCGAATTGATTG